GACAGACTGTTTGCACAGTCCTACCCAACGAGCCAGTTCAAAGGCTTTAACCGGCCCGGCCCACGCCGTTGCATGCACAAGTCCTATAGGCTATAGCCCTATCTTAATATACTCAAGGTGATCCTGTAGCCGTTGGCCCTTGCAACCCAAAAGGATGCGATCAGTCGTGACGACAAAAGTTGCGTTCTTGCAAGAAGAAACCATAACCAATCAACAAACAATATATAATACACAAATAAATTCATTTGGACATATATAACCCCATTCCATAACGTTTGTTTAATCTAATAAACGTGTGACCATACTATAGAAAAAAAAATAATTTTTTAGACGATTCCATCATCCATGTGGGGACTACGTCTTTTGTTTGAGTTATCAAATTTGACTTGTTCAAGAAAAAAGAAATTAAATAAGGGGCGGTTTGTTTGTTTAAAAAAATTGGGAAATCAAAGAATAGATGATGAGATGAGATGAGTTGTCACCATATTATTCGATGATATGAGTGATTTTTTAAGAAAACTTATTTTGAGATTGTTTGGTTGGTTAAAAAAATAAGGAAATGTATTATAAGAAACCTATTTCCTATAATAGTTTCTTTCTTGTGTTTGGTTCATTCTTAAAAATAAGAAAATGGATGAGATGAGTTGTTTGTAAATTATTGGATGATGTAACTCACACTTAAGATAATCAATTTTCTTGTTTTTTTTGTTGAGGAAATGGATAGAAATAAAATGTTAATAAGATAAGATGAGTTGTCACCATATTATTGGATGATGTGGGTGATTTTTAAATATGAGATGAGATGAGTTGGATGATGTGACCAATTTTATTTTTAGGAGATGATACGAGATGAGTTGTTGGATGAAAATTATATTTTATTGGATAAAGTGGATGAGTTGTTAGATAAAAATAATATTTTATTAGATATTGTGATGAGTTTTAGAGTTAGAAATGGAGAAAATTAATGTTTTTGAAATTTCCATGATCCAATTTCATATTCTTAATTTTTAGGAAACCAACCAAACAGCCCCTAAAACAAAACAAGTTCAATGTTGAAGTCGTCCTCTGTTGTGCCTTGGTATCTCATCCGCCGATTCATCACCGAGAACCTCTGCACAATCCAACCAGATTTCTGGACGCTTCTAATGGTCCCCGTGAGAAAAGTTTTCAAATTAGTCCTCTACTTCATTAATTTTATATCGTACCTAGATTTCTCAGTTAAAACTTGCAACTTCTCCTTTTTATGAAAAGGTTACACCAAAGTTTTAAACTTTCCTATCTTTTCCTCCTTCGGGTTAGGTTAAATTTGATGATTTAGACATATATCTTTTGATGTACTAATCAAGGCCACGGGATATTTTCTTATGCAAATTAATTTTACATCAAGGACAAGAACACAACAACACACACCAAGGATTTACATGCAAAGCTTCTGTCCATATAAAACACCAGAACACGCCAGCACGAAAAGCATTAGCATCCAAATCCCATTTCTCTTCCTTCTCGGACCTCATTTGAGAGAGCTAGAGAAACAAAGAGAGGGGAGAGAGAGAGAACCATGGAGAGCCCAACAGAGCCTCTCCTCTTGTTATCAGAAACTAGGGAGCTAGTTGATATCGGGCCTATTAAAGGCCCAAGGGATTTGTGGAGAGAGTTCAAGGCTGAGTCCAGGAAGCTGTGGTTTCTAGCTGGGCCAGCCATATTCACCTCAGTATGCCAGTACTCTCTCGGAGCCATCACCCAGACCTTCGCCGGCCAAGTTGGTACCCTTGAGCTTGCCGCCGTCTCCGTTGAGAACTCCGTTATCTCCGGGTTCTCATTTGGTGTCATGGTAATAATAGATTTTTCTTGCTTTTCTTGCATATTCTTTTCTTTGGAAAAATTATGTCAAGACCCCGAAAATGAAAGTTTCATATGTTCGAGCCCCCCTAAATCTTTTTAGGGTGTATGACACCAAAAATTGTATTTTACCCAAGTTATCCATTATACCCTCTTATAGCCCACACCAATTAAAAATTCTCATCATCTCGTCTCTCCCTCCTCTCTCCTAATCCACTATGCTGCTGTTCCTCGCTCATCTCCTTTTCTTCCCTAATCTTAACCTTCATTCTGTTCCTCCCTCCTCTTTTCCTACTCTCTCCTCACTCTAACCCTAACCCTCCTCTCCTTTTTCGTCTTTCCCTCTGACTCCTTCATCTCGTTCTCCCGCCTCCCCCTTCCCTCTC